GAAGGAAAGCCAGAGTAGACCTGGGAAGGAGAGAAAGTGGTTCGAGCCATGTAGGAGGTTATGGAAAAAGATCTTATTGTAAGTACTCGTTTCTCCGTCCATGGACGAGGGTCCCCTCTGAAAACAAAACCACACAGAGAACTCAGAGGGAAAGAAAAAATCTTTTCTGAGAGGGAGAGAGGGAGAGAGGGAGAGAGAGGGAGAGAGGGAGAGAGGGAGAGAGGGAGAGAGAGGGAGAGAGGGAGAGAGAGGGAGAGAGGGAGAGAGAGGGAGAGAGGAAGGGGGAGAGGGAGAGAGACACGCTGAGGATAGGCAAGGCCCTTGCGCGGCCCGGGGAGGCTGCTGGAGGCTGAGCCTGTTGGATTTCCTTGGCATAGATCCTTTGCAAACAGTTTTGTTACTTGAGTTTGCAGCATTTTAGGTCCCCAGGACACCAGATGCTCCCATCTTCAAAGGCCTTTGCCAAGAGAAAGCGGCTCGGGGTGGAGGGGGTGCGGTCACCCCTCGAACAGTGGAGCACTCAGCAGCTTCTGAACCCAGCTCATGGCCGGCAAACAGCTGCCTGTGCACTGGGGCTGGCGGGGTGGGGTGGGGGGGAGCGAAGGGGGGGGGCGGATGAGCCTCCTTCAAGGCTGCCGGCCCTTTGATCTTTTGTTCCTTGTTGCCACCTGCTGTCTGTTCCCTGGTCCCTGGGCGTGTCTGCATTGACAGTTTGCATTTATAAACACCAACTGTGTGTGTGTGTGTGTGTGTGTGTGTGTGGTCTGGTGGGAGCAGGTGGTGTTGAGCCTGCAGTAGCCCAGTGTCTTAGAGCTGAGGAGCCCTAGCTTGTGAGTTAGCTTCCGACCTCATCGCTTCTTGGGGCCACTGACCTTCTGACCGGCTGCTCAGCGAGCTCAGGCAAGCCATGACCACTTCTGCAAAACCCAGCTCTGACACAGCTCTTCTGCATCCAAACATCCGGAAACTTAGGGCTTTCTCACAGACCCAAGACCCTGCTGGTTTCATAAGTGGCAGGAACAGGGAGGGCGCAGCTGTCCCAGGAGGTCCATGGCATGAACTCTGTCCTGCATTTGTTGCTGTCTGCTTGGGGTTGCCCTTCTGCCCCTGCGTCTGCTCCCTCCTGTGGCTGAGCCTTTGCGCTCTGTGCCTTCTTGCCCGGGGTGCCCTTTCCCTCCTTGCCTGCCCACACCTGGGCCCTTCTTGTCCAGCCTGCCTGCCTGGTCTCCTCTTCCTATTTCTCACACCTTCCTTCGTGTCTCTGCGTTTGATCAGACTTTCTCTCTGTTGTCTTCTAATTGTGTCATGGGTGTGATACCTTATTTTCTCCCAGAGAGGTTTTTTTCCTTAAAGATTTATTTATTTATTTGAAAGGCAGATTTAGAGAGAGAGAGAGAGAGAGAGAGGGAAGGAGGGAGGGAGGAAGGGAAACAGAGAGACAGAGACAGAGAGATATCTCTCCCTAAATGGCTGCAATGGCCAGGAGCCTAGAACGCCATCAAGGTCTAATGTGGGTGCAGGGGCCCAGGTACTTGGGCCATTGTCTGCTGTTTTTCCGGGTGCAACAGAATTGTAAGTGCAGCAGCTGGAACTCAAATCGGCGCTCATGTGGGATGCCGGTGTTGCAGGTGGAGGCTTAACCGGCTGTGCCACCGTGCTGCTCCCCCTCCCCCGAGAGCTTACGCTCTTAGCGCTCCTGTTTCCGGCCTTGCCCGGCCCCTGCAGCATCTCTCCTCACGTGGGACAGTCCCTGTAGAACGGATTTCCTAGAGATTTTCTGCAGCCCCCTCTTGTGCTTGCGTAGGGTGGCAGCTGCAGTCTGGAATCCCGCGTGGGGGTCTGGAGGCCCCCGAGGGCAAAACCATTCAGGACTGTGGGGCTGCAGGCAGCCACCGTCATTGGGATCACTGGCACTGATATCGGAATATGGGGTGCCATACCATATCACCATGCGCTTATTAATAAATTCCCAATATTAATAAGCCTGTGTGGGTTCTTGCCTAATATTCAGAGAAGAATTCTGAATACTGGCATAAATGAATGAGGCGGCATGATACGTTTTAAGCTTATATCCAGTGAGAAAGATGCATAGGAGAGTGAGGGCCCTATCTAAAAGAGAGATAAATCTGGATTCATACCGAGTACCAGGAGCCAGCCACGTAGAGGAGCATGCAGGCCAGGAAGCATGGGGCAGGTGGCCCGAAGGCCACACACCCTGGAGGTGCAGGGCAGCACGGGCCCACACTGGCAAAATGAAAAGGGCCGGGCACACTGTGTCCCAGGCTTTTAATCCACTTCCAAAAGGGAGTGGTTAATGAACCTGATTGGCTGGTGGGTACACAGGTGTGGCCAGGTAGGGGCATGCGGTCACACAGGGGCGTGGTCTTCCAGCTCACAAACCTGATCAATTTTATCCTGTATGCCTGCCTACATCAGCACCTGAGGCAGCCACAGAGCGGCACGTGCCAGAAGTGGGAGTCCGTCAAACATGGGAGGGCGGCTTTGCTGAACAGCCAACAGGGTCAAGTCGGACCCAAGACGCAGCGGCAGCAAGTATGTGCGGTGGATTTCTGGGGAACTGGTGGATTTCCAGGGGGAACTGAGGTGGGCATTCTTAGCTGAGACGCCACCAGCTAGTTAAAGCAGAGTTCAAATATCAAGATAGCTGAATTCTGAGCCCAAACAAGGCTGTCTGTGAAACCTCTGCCCAGCTCGCCTTGTTCCTAGGAGAACCTGCTCCCGGCATTTCTCCATCGCCTTCCCGTAGGTCCTAGGGGTCCTGAGATTTTGAATGTTGGATCCAGGGGAACGGCAGTCATGACCGTGGGTGAGAGTAGCAAGATGCTGCACGCTATAGAATGAGATGTGCCCCACAAGACAGCCCAGTCTTCCTTGGCCCCTTCTGGGCTTCTGACAAGCGTGTAAGTTGGATCTTCTGTGATGGTGATGAGTTCAGGAAGACAAAGTTGAAGAATGTGGGGCAAGCAGAGCATGGAGAAAAGCAGGTTTTGGGTGTGGTGTCCCTGTGTGGGGAGAACTTGGTGTCCGTGACTGTGGAGGGGTCCACTTCCCAAAGGCACTGGCATTGCTTGGGTACCACAGCTCTGGGAGAGCGGCTGCCAGAGGAGGATCAGCTGGGGTCTAACTCTCCAGGCTTAGCTGGATTGGCAGGCCCCCCCTGTCCGAGGAGTTGGGGGCTGGCACAGCAGGGAATGGCTCCACAGGGCAGACAAGGTCATTGCTGTTGCTGCTATCACGAACATTGCTGGAGCCCCAGCGCAGGACCCATCAGCACAGGGGAGTCCCACAGAGCAGCCCCACCTCCAGGCGTTATGGCTCCTCCGCCTGGTACGAGACCATCATGCACCTGCCAATTGGGCATGCCCCATCTAGGAACCAGACCGCCTCCACCAAGAAGTAGAGGCCCACTGGCCCCAGGAACGGCGCCTCCCAAGACCCTAGGGTGCTGCTGACCTACATCAATCCCTTTTCCCCCTGCAGTGTCTTGTGGAATTGTGCTGAGTGTTTGTGAGCTTTTTGTCCTCTTTTCATGCATTAATAATTGCTACTGATAAATGCATGTAGCAGTTGAACTGTGAGATACTTGTTTTTTTTTGTTTTTGTTTTTGTTTTTGTTTTTGTTTTTTTTTTAAATAATGCACTTCCTAGAGGGTGGAGGGAGCTAATAGACCTGTTCTACCAACCTTGGCTGGGGAGGGTCAGGCTGATGGAGTATCTACCCCTTCCCCAGAGGTGTGAGAGACACACCCACCCACATTCTCATCCGCTTGGGGATCAGCAGAGGCCCAGAGCACTCTCAGAAGACTCTGGAGAGCTGTCCTTAAGAGCTGCAGTTCCGCTGGGGAGGTCCAGTGTGTAAACAAATAATGACCATGCTCTCTTAGCGCAGAGGCTGAACGACACAAGGTGTCCTGCACACGGGCCTGCACTCGCCCTGCTGTGTTGTGAGTTTGCACAGTTATCTCCCTGGGTGGAACGGGAGCCCTCAATGGCGAGCTGTCTGTCATTCCTGTCTGGGGCCCCTGTCTAACCCACTGTTTAGAGCACCAGGATCATCGACTAGATACAGGCGGCTGCACATGCGCATAGCTTCACTTTTTATAGTTCCAGTTGCCCCCAGTCGTGTGTTGAAAATATCACACGGCAAATTCCAGCGGTAACAATTCTTAAATTCTCAACTGCACGCCGCACCGAGTAGTCTGATGAAATCTCAGCCGGTCCTCTGTCCCGCTCAGGGCAAGAATCAGTCCTCTGCCCAGCGCATCTGTGCTGTGTGCGCTGCCCCTCTGTGGGTCACGCAGGAGCTGGCTGGGTTAGCAGGTAGACTGCTGGCGTCGCTATCACGGTGTCTGCGTCCACTGGGGACTTGCGGCAACCCTCTGGCGATAAGGGATGGGGATTATTTGAGTTTGTTGAGGGAGAGACTTCCATGATGGATGAGTGAAGGCAGCTGAAGTCACAAGAACACAGAGAAGGCAGTCAGAGGCCCAGGAGTAGGTGATTTGGGCAGATTTTGGAAGAAGGACCGTGGGTTTGTGAGCAGGCAAGGGGCAAAGGGGCATTCCTAAAAGAGGGAACTGCAAAGGCAAAGTCATGGAGACCTGGAGGGTGTGCGGGGTCAGAGAGACCTGGCCTGGTGGCAGAGGGCTGAGAAGAGAGAAGAGAGGTGGACTGAACCCCTACCAGTCAACCCAGGAACAGTGCCAGGCTTGCTCTGAGGACCCTCGAGGCCACCGTTTAGCCTGAGGCTTTTTTCTACTTACCCCTCTCCCCAGTCCTTGCTCGTGGGGTACAAACCCCTTAATACAAGTTGAAGGCAGTGCTTCTCAAACTTTAATCTGCTCAAGGATTACCTGGAGATCTTATTAAAAATGTAGACTCTGGGGCCCAGCACCATGGCGCAGTAGGTTAATCCTCTGCCTGCGGCACTGGCATCCCATATTGGCGCCAGTTCTAGTCCTGGCTGCTCCTCTTCTAGTCCAGCTCTCTGCTGTGGCCCGGGATAACAGTAGAAGAAGGCCCAAGTGCTTGGGCCCCTGCACCCACGTGGGAGACCGGGAGGAGGCACCTGGCTCCTGGCTTTGGATTGGCGCAGCTCTGGCCATTGTGGCCATTTGGGGAGTGAACTAATGGAAGGAAGACCTTTCTTTTTGTCTCTCTCTCTCACTGTCTGTAACTCTATCTATCAAATAAATAAATAAAATCTTTAAAAAATTGTAGACTCTGGGCCCTGTGTTGCAACTGGCATCCCACATTGAATCAAGTCCTGGTGGTGCTGATTCTGAGCCAGCCCTTTGCTAATGCTCGGGGGAAGGCAGTGGAAGATGGCCCGAGTGCTTGAGCCCCTGCACCCACGTGGGAGTCCTGCACGGAGTTCCTGGCCCCTGGTTTCAGCCTGGCTCAGCCTGGGTCATTGTGGCCATCTAGGGCGTGAACTTCGGGTGGAGCCAGTGACTCGCATGTCTAATGAGCTCCCAGGTGACACAGGTGACACGTGACAGGGAACCACACTTTGAGAAATGAGGCTGGAAGACAGAAGAAAACTACTGCTTTTGAATTATTTGTAACACTGCTTCTCCCAGCAGGGTAGGTAATTGAGTGATGTCCAGTAACAGCTCAGCGATGAATGACCCCGAAGTGCCAAAACCACAGGGCTTCCTCCCCAGACAGCCTGTCCTGGATCCTGGTGTCTCCGCTCTGCTCAGCCAGCTTTGGCTGCCTGCTTGCCAAGCTTTGACTCGATCCTAAGGAAGGTTTACTCTTTCGGAGGCCCCAGTGTGCTCTGCGGAGGCCCTGGCATGCCCCCTGCCCGCCCACCATCTCCCCTGCCACCACCCACCCCCGCTGGGGCCTCTGCCCTGACAGCTGGTGCCGGAGGGCTGTGTTGGACAAGGCCATGCCAGGTCTGGATCCCTACTTCCTCATAGCCAGATTCTGTACGAAAGCAGAACTCCTGGGTCCATTTCTTGCTTCAGTTCCTCAAAATAGAAGCTTCTGGCCTCAGTGTGAGCGCAAATGAGCCAGGTAAGCGGCATCCCTTCCGTCTCTGGGCCCCCTCCGCTGCGTGCAGAAAAAGGAAGAGGCCGGCTACGTCAAACCAAAAATCTCTGGCAGTGGGGCTGGGCTGACAAGTGTCTGTGCGGCAGAAGGGGCCTTGGCAGGGCTGGCTGCGGCGGGAGCCGAGGCCAGGCTGGTGCCAGCTGTCTCTCCGAGTCCACCTGTGAGCCGCTGACACAGAGGAGGCCTGGGGCTGGAGCGAGCTGGGGCTGGGCCCCAGCGGCGGCTGATAGAGGTCGCTTCTCCCTGCAGGGTGCCTCTCCCCTTCTCACCTGAAATTCCCTCCTAGGGACTGGGTGCTCTGTGGACCGCTGGCCAGGGCCAGACCCTGCTGAAGGGACAGGGACAGCATCTGCACAATCCAGCATGGACTAGCACAGAGGGCCCGTGGGTCCATCCCCTCTGCCGTGGGCAGCTCTGCCTCCGGCCCTGGTCCCCTGTGCTCCTTCCCAGAGGCCTCAGCGAGATGTCACCTCCTTCCCCCATTGCCTCTCCAGATTCATTCAGCCGTGCTCCTGGGCAGTTGGCGGCTGCTCTGAGCCAGGCCCCTTGGCCTGTTCTTTTCTGTCATCCCCCCAGCCTTCCCTTCCCTGTGCCTCCCTAAGCAACCCCAGGGTTGGTTCCATGTTCCCCTCCTGTGGAGACACAGCATGGGCGGCTGTGTCCACTTTCGACCCAGCTCCCTGCTAATGGTCCGGGAAAAGCAGCAGAAGATGGTCCAAGTGCCTGGGCCCCGCCATCCACATGGGAGACCTGGAGGAAGCTCCTGGCTCCTGGTTTCCAGCCTGACCTAGCCCTAACCATTGTGACCTTTTAGGAAGTGAACCAACAGATGGAAGATCTCTCTATCTGTGTCTCCTTCTCTCTATAACTCAGCCTTTCTAATAAAATGAATACATCTTAAAAAAAATAAGAAAGCAAAAGGAATAAAAGTAATCACCTATCCCAAGGTTTGGATGAAACTGAGAGGTGAGCATTGTGGTGTGGTGGGTTAAGCTGCATGTGAGTGCTGGTTCCAGTCCCGGCTGCTCCACTTCTGATCCAGCTCCCTGCTAATACACCTGAGAAAGCAGTGGAAGATGGAACAAGTTCTTGGGCCCTGTACCCACGTGGGAGACCTAGAAGAAGCTCCTGACTCCTGGCTTCAGCCTGGCCCGGTGTTGGTTGTTGGAGCCATCTGGGAAGTGAACCAACGGATGGAAGATATCTCTCTGGGTCTTTCCCTCTCTCTGTGTAACTCTGCCTTTCAAATAAATAAGTAAATACGTTAAGAAAAAAGATGCAGCTGAGGTATCACAGGCAGCGTGCTTGGTTAAGGTCCCTCTTTGGTACACACAGGCCCTTGGCGATGCCAGAGAGCTCGGGTTCCACCCTGGCCCGCTCCTGGCGAGGCTGTGGTCACCTTCTCTGCACAGGGCCACCTGGGTCCTCCTCCCCTCAGTCCTCCACCTGGTGACTTTAACCCATCCCTCCTCCTCCTTCAAAAAACTCCCCAGCTTGCACCAAAGCCCTGCACGCCCATCACCAGTTGGCTTCGACAGTGTCTGGCCTTGCTTCTCCCACCTCCTTCCCCACTCCTGGAATATTTTACAGCACATCTGAGTATATCCTGTCACCACACTCCAGTGGTTAAACCTGGGGTGGGCGCATTGAGCTGGGACTTGATTCAGTAAGTCTGCAGCAGGCTCATTGTAGGTGGCTGACTTTGCAGGGCTCCTGACTGATGTTATAAACACCCAAAGTTGCCCTGGCCAGTAAAAAACGCTCCCCAGCCTTTTTCTTTTTTTTTTCCTGCAATCACACTCAGCAGGGGTGCTCGCAAACCACTCTAAAACTCGGTGAAGTTTTCCTGATTGGCTCAAAAATGTCTTTTTTTCCCTGCTGCTTCGTGTGGATAAGGATTTGTTGGAAGGTAAAATCTCTTCGCTGTTTCGGCATCAGCCTCCTTTGCCATGCTCTGTTTGTCATGGAAACGTTGGACAGTGAGGAAGTTGTGCCCCAAAACCCCTCCGACTCACTTCCCTGAACCCTCACCAAAGAGCACAAAAACAAGCATTTCCCTCTTGGCCCTTTTGGGGATGTTTTCAAGAGCCACGAAGACGACCTCCACCCCAGAGCCGAGTTGGGATAACAGATTCCTCCGAGCGCTTCCAGAACCCGGCACTCACCCCAGGGAGGCGGAGGGGCAGCGCTGCTTGCTCGGGTTCCTGTTTTTCAAGGCTGAAAAGCTCTGGGAACCTTAGCCTTTTCAAAAAGACTCTTTTTTGCCCTCCCACCCGCCTTTGGAAATCCACTAACCACAACATTTACTCCATCCCCCCTTTCCCCTCTCTCCCTTTCACACTCCCTCGCTCTCTTTTTAGCAGCAGCATCGAGCCGGCCATATTAGAGAGATGGAAATAAAGCCTCCTCAATGTTGTCTGTGTCTTTGAAGTGCATCCGTGCAGTCTCCGTAGCCTCCCGCCTCCCGCCACCCCTCCCTCCCTGTGGTCCTCCGCCCCCCAACCGCCCCCTCCCGCAGCCCACCTGACTAACAGCTGTGTCTGAAAATGCACAGAGATGCCTGGCTACCTCGCCCTGCCTTCAGCCTCACGGGGCTCACTCTCATGTTCTCTCTGGGTAAGTTAGAGCCCTGGCTGCATGCTCTCGGGGGCTCAGAGAGCAGGGAGGGGGCAGGCCAGGGGACCTCTCTCTCCCGTGTCCTTGGGGGGAAGTGGCCCCGGGCTAAGAAGTGTTGCTAGGGGCTGCTTGGATTTCCCTGAAGTGGACCTGTGTGGGGGTGGGGCAGAGGGTGGATTTTTTTTTTTTTGGCAGCTGCTGCAATGTGGGGTCCTAGGACTTTGTGCTCCCACAAGGGGCTTTTGCGAACCTTGATCGCTGGATTCTGGTGGAGAGTGCAGGAGAGCTGGGGGCAGGAAGTTGAGGCTTAGTCTGCTTCCTGCAAATCCATCCCCCTGATTTGTTAGAACATGTGTGTGGGAGAAGGTGGGAGGCAGGCTCGAGGGATGGTCTCTTGGTGGGAAGGAGACCTGCGCATGCCAGAGAAGGGGACAGGGAAGGCATGGCCAGTGAGGGCCAGGTGGAACGGAGAGAGAGTCAGGTGAGGGATTTAAGAGAAAAGAAGAGGCAGCAGGGGCTGCTGTCAAGTGGACCAGAGTGGGGCCACTCAGGGACTTGCTGGTGGGCAGGTGGGCAGTTGGGCAAGTGGGCAGGGAAGTTACATGCAGGTCTGCTAACTAACCCGCGTGCTCCTACACCTACCCATTGATGGTGCAGCGACCCAGGGTCAAGTCCAAGGACTGTCCGGGCCAGTGCTCCCCTTCATAGAGGCTCCGTCTCTCTGCGGCGTGACGTGACGTGCTGGGGCCTGGGCAAGCGGGCTACCTGCAAGAGAAGGCCTCTTAGCTTTGCTGAGCTGCTCAGCGACCCAGGGCACAGCAGGGACGCTGGGGCAGCTCTTGCCAGGGAAAGAGCATGAGCTCGGAGTAGGACTTGAGGGGAAGCCACCTTTGCCATTTCCCTAATGACCACAGGCAAGTTTCTCAAGCCCTCTGAGCTTTGGGCATGCCGTGGAGGACCGGGAAAGATCCACGCCTGGCCCGTCTGTGATCCGTGCGCAGCAGGGGCCCCACCATGGCCAGGATTCGTGAGCTCCTCTCCCTGGCCCCGGGCGCCGCCTATTTGGCTATTACTGCACTCCTGGTACAGGAAAGAAACAGAGAGGCACGGAGGACTTGAGTAACTTGCCCAAGAAGGCACGTGATACAGCCTATGGGCGGCAGAGAGCCCAACTCTCCAGCACGTCCAACTTCAGTACTCTCTTAAACGCTGGACTCTACCGCCCCCATTGTTCAAGACATGGTACTGCATGCGGCAGTACGAGCACTCTGTTAGCCTGAGTCTGACCAAGTGCACTTGACCGCTGCAGGGGGTAGGCATCCAGAGATGGAGGGGGAAAACATCTTCCCTTCCTGCAGTGGACTTTTACTGAGTGCCCACTGTGTGTGCCACATGCTGTGCTGCGTGCCAGCAACACCAAGATGAGTAAGAATCCGTTCTCCAGAGCCTCTTGAAGAACTCAGATACAAAAACCAGTACAGCAGGTGCACGCACTGTGATAATAACAGGAGCAATGCCAATGCCAATGGCAGCTAACTACTGAGCTTTAATCCTCACAACGGCCTTATGAGCTGGGTCCTGTCATGGTCCCCACGTTACAGATGAGGAAATTGAGGTGCCAGAAAGTTGATTGTCTTGCCTAAGATCGGATCAGGGCTCCGGAGCCCTGGTCTTGGCCACCACACCATACCATACCATACCATTCCATACCATACCATACCATTCTGCCTCCAAGGCATGTGCAAGACAGGATGGGAGCTGGCAGGTGATGAGTCTGGACTGCAGCTTGGTCCCAACTGGCCAAGGGCTTGGAAGCTGTGCACAGGAGCTGGACTTGGGTCTGAGAGCAACAGGGAGCCATGGGGAGGGGGTTTGCAGGGGAGGAGTGACAAGGCCAGGTTGCTCTGGACTGTGTGGAGGATAGACTGGCCTGGGCAGGGAGACCCTGGACAGAGGTGGTCTGAATGGGAAGGCGGCACAGGTGGAACAGCACATCCCACTCACCTGCACCAGGTCTCTGCTTAGATACGGTCTGCCACCAAGGTGAAAACAAACCTAGCTCCTGAGTTGCTACTGCAGAGTTGGACAGAGGCACGGCAAGAATTGCCTTTGAGCACCTGCAGGAGATAGCGTTTGCCCGATGAACACATTTTCATGATGTCTGAGATGGGCCAGTGAGAACCATGGATGACATGGGGCCGGGGGGCCCGATGTGCCTGGAGGGGCCCAGGCACGGTGATGTTTGTTCAGGATCTAAGAGCAGAAGCTGCTTCCTCACTGCCCTGGTTGATCGTCACTTCCTTTCTGGGAGCTGTGGTAGCAGAGCCGGGGATGAGCTGTGGTCCCGAGTGGGACAGCTGTGAGGAGGGTAGGGTCTCTGGACGGAGGGTCCTTTAAACAGGACCACTCTCCGCTGGTCAAGCTGCCCGCAGCTGGAAGTTACAGGGCTGCACCTGCCTTGTAGACAGGAGGAGACTGGTTCTCTGGGGCGCCTTGGAAGGGCAGCCTCATCCCCATCCAGCCTTGACCCTTGTCTGGAGCCAGGCAGCCTGGGCTCAAACCCTACACGTGGCTCTTCCAGGCGGTGAACCTGGACTGCTTCCTGCACTTTCATCCAGAAAGTGGTGGTGATCACAGGTGTACAGGGGAGGCAGCAAGCGTGGGGCACCTCACCAGCACCTGGCACGCTGGCAACCCCGCGTGGGCGCCGGCCTTGCCTTGGAGTCTTCTGCAGCCCTGGTTGCACGTGTGGCTACTTTGCCCCAAGCAGCAGAGGTCATCCAGAGACCAGGATTTCCTTCCCATGTCTGACCTTGAGCCACTGGTTTTGTCTTTAATGAGGTTCTCAGCTGGCGGGAGGCCCTGGGCCCTTCAGCCTAGAGCCTCTGGGAGTTGGCAGAGGCCCGGCTGAAGTGCAGGCTTGGATCGGGGGCCTGGAGCCACGATCGTGGACTCATCTTGCCCTTGTTCTCTGTGTATCTTTCTCGCGGCCTCTCCTTCCGCATTGGTAAAACGATGGGGACTAAGTGGACACCTCCTGAGATTCCCGCCAGCTCTGGCTTTCCCGGATGGAGTGACCACACTTGCCCCATCTCTCGGCGCTTGGTGCCTGACGCTTGAGCTCTGTGACCACTAGAGGGCGCACGGTTCCGCTCGGTGCTTCTGCAGAGGCCCTGCTGTTGGTTGCGATGTGCGCGCAGCCTGCAATGCGCCTTTCTGTCTGCCCCTTCCGCCAGCCAGAAAAGCTCCCCCACCCCACCCCACCCCACCCCGCCTCCACTACTCTGCCCTCCCACTCGGCAGGTGCTGGCTCCTTCAGGGTGGGAGGGGCCCAGGTTCTAATCCCGAGTGCGGCCCGGGGCTGGGGTGAGAGAGCACTTACTTGGTGGTCAGGGACTCTGGTAGGTGGCAGACGGTGCCGTGCAGGGGTAGGAGGTAAGCTGGGGACAGGCTCCCGCAGCTCCTCGCCTCAGATTTCTCTGCCTCTGCAGAGTGGGGGCAGTGCAGGCACTCGTGCACACCTCCCCCTTGCCTGGCGCTGGGCCCTGGTGCTAGGCGGGGATCTAGAAGTGCAGGCTCTGTTCTCCCAGGCAGGGGCTCACCCAGCCTCCCCGGGTGCCACTCCCCTCAGGAGCACTGGCAGGCACACCTGGCATCCCTGAGCCCACAGCTGAGATGCGCAGGGCTGGAGCTCTGGGCCAGCAGTGCTGAGCGCCCTGGGTTCTTGAGTCCTGCACCTGCTCTGGTCACCCAGCAGGGGATGGACAGGGCCGAAGGACGCTCATGCTTGGGGCAGACCCCTGTTTCCTTCCGTGCTTGCGAGCTGCAGGGCTGCGCTTCTGGGTGGGGCTCAGAGCCCTTGTGCAGCAAAAGGGTGATGAGGAGGAGATGATGGACAGCTCCGGGGGAATCCCGAGGGGCTGACTGGAAGGGCCAGGGAGACTCCCCCAGAAGCCCCTGCTGCTTATGAGGAGGACATGGGGTATCGACAGCTCACTTTGCAGAGCCCTTATTGCTTATGTCAGCTGTCGTTAGCATCACACCGCTGGGAGGTGGGTGCCCACGCTCGCCCCGCCTGGCACGGCCCGGGCTGGGAGTGCACCCCAGTCTCATCGGATCCCCATGTACTTCCCACATCAGCAGCTTCCTGTCAGCCCCTCCCTCAACCCAAGCCTATCAGAG